CTAGAATATGTCCACAAGACCTATGAACCATAAATAGTAAGTGTCACGTGCAACGTAAACTGTCACGTGACCATGAAGTGCTGAAACCGTAACACAAGCTCCCCCTTCCAATTGGCAAGACCCTTGACAACCACTCACCAGACTAACCCATCATTGTCCTTTGTGGACACCTACGTAGTCATAGACTGGAATGGTGGTGTGGGGTATGACCTCCCAGCCATCATCATTATCCTCTTGGGGCTGAGGATGGAACTCGGTAGGTGCCCAGTGCGAGATGGATCCGTCTTCGTAGAGGACCACCTTCAGTGCGTCGACATCATCGGTAAGCCATCCAGGCCACTCGATCATGGCAACGAGGGGTTGAAAGATGACCGACGTGAACTCACGAGGTGTCTTGATGTCTCCATAGCTGACTTGATCGGAGAATGTCCGGAATAGTTCGACCTCATATTGCTCGACACCTTCTTCCTTGTCCGTGAAATGAACGCTAATGACGTGTGTCCGGTTGGGTGTTGGGTGCCAATCGTGCATACCTGGAATGGGTGGTGGATAGAGAAGGGCGACCCATTGGCTGAAGACATGATGAGGTGAGTCTTCCGAGTAGAGGTGCCAGGTGACCTTCTGATTATTTCAAGTGAAGACGAAGGCATGGAAGGTAGCGGAGTCGCCCATGCCCATACGATGGACATAGAGACGATGGCCATCGTGTTCCATGAAAAATGTTAGTGGCATAGCGATGAAGACATCATAGAGTGATGCCACGTCTGGGGTGATGAGCGATACCTGTCCTGCCGCTGAGTTGCTTGAAGACTTGACCATTCGAGCGTACCTTGTCTGCTCCTTGATGATGTCAGCTGGTGCAGGTTATGATCTGTCCTCAGGTGAGTCCACATAGTTGTACGTGGTGCTGTCATGGTGGGGGTAGCTGGGTTGTTCATCATCGGCATTCCTTGCCTGTTCGTCGTCTTCACCGCAAGCTCTCCCTGTCGTCCAACGACCTGTCTCATCTTCATCATCTCCCCAGCGTGCACTTCTCCATGAGTCAGCCAATGCTTCATCACTGAGGTTGGTCGGAGGCAGTAGTTCATCTCTGTCATTGTCTAGGAGTAGCCCTGGCTCCGATGTGCTATGAGTGACAGTGGTGGTGACACGAATGTTAAGCAACATTGGTGGAGGTGGTAGAGCAGGGCAGTTCTCTTTATCCCAAGGGTAGATTTCCTTGTAGAGTTCCCACTGGAGTAGGAGGAGATGATGGTCCAGTAGAGGGAACAGAGGACCGCTACTTATACCTTCGAGCAGCTGTTCCTCTTCTTCATACCAGTCCGTGATGTGAATATTTACCATTCCTGTACGTTCTTCTGCTGATATTGTCATTATCCTTGATACGGTACCGTGTATGACACTGAATGCATCCAGGTTGATATCGATGTCATCCTCTAATGTTACCTTCAGCCTGTCCGTTTGGAATAGAAATGGGTAAGGAATTCTGATTAGCCCGCTGGGGCACGGGGTTAGATATGGCTGTCGTCGAGTTGACCTGAAGTCGTCCAGGAGGTGGACTTCGTGGACGTCATCCGCTCTCTGGATGAGATAATCCATCATGGTTTGGATGGGTTGTGTTGAATTCGGCGTTGGTATGGTCGAAGTCAGCAAGATCCTTGATGGTGAATCCAGCTCCTCTGATAGTGAGATAGACTCCGAGTTGTTGAAAGACCTGGTAGTGATGGTCATGAGAGGAATGGGATTCGACATCTTCGAGAACTTCAATGATATGGGTGAGAGTGGTGATAGCGGATTCGAGATAGTCAGGGTGTTGCACAGGCATTGGGACTGAGGATTCAGGCCAAGTTGTGCTCCCTTTTATACTCGTCCAGCAGCTCACTTGCATTGCCCATTTCCGTCTCCTTTACCCACGACCTTTCGCTGAGTGGATATCCAGCCCATTTTACCAGATATTCTTTCTTGCTGCACTGTAGTCGGTGGCCCATTATAGACTCAATTTCAAATTCTTCTTCTCCTTCGATAAGATCCGGAGGCGGTGTTGAATAACTATCCCCACGTGTGCTGGTCTGCCGATATGGCATAAGAAGCACAGCATGGAATACCGGATGGATTTTTCATGTCGCAGGAAGGTCTAACTTGAATGAGAGAGGTCCCAGAACCTCCTTGATCCTGAATGGTCCTTCTCACTTCGGTGCTAGCTTGTTCGATTTGTAAGGTCTTTTCAAATTGATGGCTTTCAGCCAAACCCTGTCTCCTTTCTTGAACGTCGGAGATCCTCCTTTGATTCTGGCACCTACACGGGCTTTTGCCTTGACAATTCCTTCTGTGGCCTCCTTGCGGACCATGCTGAGAAGCTTGAGTCTTGCATCTATGTCAGGGATCTTGTCCTGAGGGAACAGTTCTGGCATTCCTCGGGGTTCGTAGCCATACCATATTTCAAATGGTGACTTCTTCGTTACTGAATGAGTATGGAGATTGTGCGCAAACTCTGCTTCAGAAAGGAATTGATTCCATCGATGCGGTTGCTCTGCACAATACATTCAAAGATAGATTTCCAATTCTTGATTCATTCATTCTGTTTCACCATCCGTCTGTGGAGATTAGGCTGTGCTCATGGCTGACTTGATCTTGAGGGCAGTGCACAGTGCTTGGAAGACTTTGGATGCGAATTGTGTTCCACGATCAGAGATGATCTTGTCAGGTAGCCCGAAGCATTTCCAAACTTGTCATCTGAATAACTCGGCGGTTTTCGAAGCAGTGATAGTCTTCTTGCAGGGACATAGAATTACCCCCTTACTAAGCCCATGGTCTACCACGACCATTATTGAATCGAAACCTTCACTTTTCAGTAGGTCTGTAATAAAATCCATGCTAACCTGCTTGAAAGGTAGCGCATTGGGTGAAGGGCCTATGGGCTGTAGTGGAACTTTGATCTTGTTTCGAACAGCTTTGGATTGCTGACATATGGCACATCCATTGATGTAGCTTTGGATGAAGTGATACATTCTCGGCCACCAGAAGTCCTTGCGCACTAGTTGGTGCATAACCCAGATTCCTGGATGACCATGGGGAGTGGCCTCATGGTATCGTCGAACAATTTCCTGCTTTAAGGTGGTATTGTTTGGAACATATACGTGTCCATGGATGGTGATTAAATTATTGTCAGTGTCCTTGATGTCATCCTTTGTCATTCCTCGTGGGACTGGAAGTTCTTCCATTAGGCCATCTTTATACACAAGTACCGATGGGCCTTTTGTTAGCACTTGTCAGATTTGTTCCACCATATCTGTATCGATAGTGCCAATAAAGAGATCGTCTGGTAGCAGGATTGCAGGTGACTTGTTGTCCTGTCAATTGTCTAATTCGGACAGTCGGGAAAGCGCGTCCGCTTGCACCATTTGTCATCCTGGAATATAGACAATCTTGTAATTAAACATAGACAAGAAGAGTTGCCATCTTCACTGTCTTGGGTTCAAGTCCTGCGGTTGCCTAAAGTATGTCAGATTCTTGTGATCTGTGCATATGAGGAATGGCTCCTTTGTGCCATCGAGATAGTGTCTCCATTCTTTGAGTGCGTGGATGATTCCTAGAAGCTCCTTATCATAGATTTGATAATTTTGTTCTGGGTCAGAGAGTGACTTGGAATAGTATGCACAGGCATGGACATCACCATTATCGTCCTTTTGCATTAAGATTGCTCCTGTAGCGAAGTCCGATGCATCAGTTTCGATGACAAAAGGCTTGTCTTTGTCTGTCATGACCAGTATTGGTGCTTTGCCGAACTCATTTTTGAGATAGTTGAAAGCAGCTTGTTCTTTGCTTGTCCAATGGAACACATTCCCGCCCTTGATCTTGGTAAGATCAATTAAGGGTCTTGCAATTTCAAAATAGTTCCAGATGAACTTTCGATAGAAGTTGGCGAATCCTAGAAATGCGCGTACTCCTTTTATGCCAGTTGGGGCTTCCCATTTGATGATTCCATTGACTTTTGCTGGATCCATTTGAAGCTGTCCTGGGAGGAAAACTAGTCCTAGGAAGTCAGTGCGCGTAGTTTTGAACACGCATTTCTCCAGTTTGAGATAGAGGTCATTGTCGACCATCTTCTTAGTGACCTGTTCAAGCTTCTTTTCCAACTCCCTTTCGCTTTCAGCAAGGATGAGGATATCATCCAGATAGCATAGTGGCCATCCTTCGGTGATTTCTTCTGCGAATATTTCATTCATCATTTGCTGAAAGGTTGCCGGTGCATTGCATATTCTGAAGAACATGACCGTGGGTTCAAATAATCCACGTTTGGTGATGAAGGCAGCCTTCCACTCGTCTCTCTGACGAATTCGGACATTGGTGTATGCTCTGCGAATGTCAAGCTTCGTGAAATACTTGGCATGACAGAGTCGATCCATTAGGTCCAATATAAGTGGGAGTGGATAGGCGTCCTTAATCATTCCTCCGTTCGCATAGCGGTAGTCCTGGCATGGACATAGTCCGCCGTCTTTCTTTCCTACAAAGAAGAAAGGTGATGCCATCGCGGATTGTGAAGGACGAATATATCCTTTCGCAAGGTTTTCGTCGATGAAGGCATTCATAGCTTCTTCTTCCAGCTTTGATAGGTTATAGACCTTCCCTTGTTTAGGAACAAAGTCCAGCTTGAAGTCTATGTTGTGATCGTAAGATCTATGTGGTGGTAACCGTTCCGATGCCTTTTCTTCGAAAATCTGCTTGTACTTGAGGAGATACGATGGTATCGTTACTTTCTTCTTGGAGTTCTTCTTCTCTTCGAGTGCTTTCTTTTGTGCGAGTTCCTGCACCTTGTTTGATGCCTTCCAGAAGGTTCCATCTTTCTTTCTTGTTTGATGGGGATCTTTCTTGGCATTCGTTCATCGTAGTGCAAGATACTGCATCTTCCTTTCTCCAACAGAGCGACATTCTTTTTCTTAGAGCATAACTTCTTGAAGTAGGCCAGTATCAGGTTGATAGGTGAAGATAGCTTCTTTTTCTCCTATTTCCTGATCCTCCAAGTACGGTGCTCCTTTTATGTATGCAAGCAAGAGATCTGAATCAACGGTTCCTGCTTCATCTGGTGCGGGATCGACATCAGACCAGTCAATCCTTCTCAAGGTTCGCTTGGCTTTGGCTTTCTCCTTTTTGGTGATTGGAAGATGAATAGTGTTTCTGTCTTTGAAAGGCCATGGTTCCTCGTCTGGTACGTCTTTTACATATTGGCAGACCTTGACTTCACCCGTTTGCCAATTGATAATCAGGTTATAATCATGGAGCCACGTATTGCCAATGATCACATCTTCTTTTCCTAAGTTGATGACAAGGAAGTCATCATTCCATTCATATGTTCCTGCATGAACCGTTCCTTTGAACTGTTGGTTTGTAGAGTTGATGGGACTTCCATCGACACTACGAATCTTAACTTCCTTCTGCGATTTGAGGAGATGGAGTCCTACTTTCTTTGCAAACAATTCATTGAAAAACAGTCCTTTTGCTCCAGAATCGACTAAGGCTCTTGCTGGAATACTTCAGGTTCTTGTGCCATCGTAATCTTGGAAGATGATATTGAGGTATATTTCGCTTCCTTGTTTGATATCGCCTCATATGATTACTTCCTCTGGGACTGCTTCTTCGTCTGGGTGTCACGAGATCCCGACGTGCACCCAATTCCAAAACTCTCTGGATCATCTTTTTCCATGGG